AGTTCCTAATACAGATTGTGAGGGGATTAAAGAATAATTCCTAAAATTAATGAACTTATGGAAATTGTTATTCTACTTTAAAAATTTGGTTTAAAAAAGATTTATAATTTCTTTATTAAAATGAAAAGTGTCTTGAACACTTTATTATTAATATTCTTTATTTAAAGTTAAGATCACTAAAGCTTCTACTAACTAGTATTGACATGAATATCATACTTTTCCATATACATTGGTACATACATACATTTAAAAATAAAATACATTTATTGAATATTGAGCATTATTTGCGGTAACTAAGGCTAAAATATTCACACGACCTTCAATGCGGTAAATTGTAAACGGCACAAATGCATCTTCATATGTGTATGCTTACATGCATATGCACATATATAAATATGAACATTAACACACTAATGATTGCAGACTTAGTCAACGACGGTACGACATCCGACAACTGTCGAGATTTCGAAATTAACGCACACACGTTTTTGAAGGATTGTTAGTTAGAAGAAAGGAATCTAGAGTGACTTAAGGCTAAGGAATGTAATACGATCCTCCCATATACCAATCCACCTAACTCTTCGAATCTTTAAAAGTGACAAAATGGTCAGAAGGTCATAACAGTAGCAATTCGTTAAGACGGCTTTCAAAACGTTTCGGTTATTATCTTTAGACTGAGTTCACACACAAAAACTTTTGTTGCAACTTTTCCAGCAAACTTCGTTTTTTTGGTGGTGAGCTTTATTTTCACACAGAAAACTTTGTCTGTGGAATTTTATTTCATTTATTTTTCTTCCATTTTCGCAATTTACTGAGGGAAGTATCTAATTTTACAATTATAAGCACATATTTTATGAGGAGCCTTTAAATTCATGACAAAAATAATCAAATGGAAACTAACACTCCCAGAGCTCTCTTCGCCAATGTCGAAATATTTATACTTTTCCAGACCATATCAAATTCTTGGTGTGTATGTATTTCATTTTAGAATTGAAATTAATTTTCATATATGAAAAATTGACTGGTGAGGGCTATATGATATAGTTTTCCGTTTTCGAAGATTTTCAGTGTCAGTATTTATTTGTATATATATATACATATATACGTTTGGAGAATACCTAATTCCACGCTCTCAGATGTTTTTTCGAAGTTCTGACGAAATACTCAGTTCTTTATGGGCCAAAATTTCAATTCTGAAAAATCGATGGTATATATACCATTGTGGTCATATCTCAAAAATTAAAGGAATAAAAGGAATAAAGGAAATTTTGGTGTTCAAACAGACCAATAATAACGTCAGACTCAACTAGTCATTTTGACCCGATTGGCATACATTTTGATGGGTTCTCCTTCCGGTACTTACATATACTTTGGGCCATAGTAAATATGCCGTTTCGCGTACCTGAAATATAATCATACAAAATAATTTGTACTTTTTTAAATTAATTTTCTATAATTTATAATTTTAGTCTGGTCACGCATGCCCTTCCCTTTTATGGTTTCTAAGTCACCCTGTGTAAATTCAGTCTTAGGACCGCATTTTGCACGAAAATCCTTGTGATCATACTTTAGTGTCGTGCGGTGGCCGAAATGTTCAACGCTTAAGTCAAGTCTTCTAACATGTGGAATTTTCAAACTAGAATAATTTACTAGCTTTGTTTTTCTCGTGATTTTACTTATCTTTTATTTTATGTTTTTTTTTTCTACAGATACATTGTTCATTTTTATAATACCGTTATATTAACTGATTTTAATTGAAACGTAGTAGAGCAAAAAATTTCAATGGCAAAATTGAACAAAGCTAAAGGCAGAATATTTGACTGCTTCAAAACTCGCAGCACTTGAGGGATTTTAAGTTTTTCCAGAAGCTGTCAAGATTTTTAATTATTTTTGATAGTGCTGGGTACCATTTCAAAAACGCTGGGTTACATTTCATTTCACGCTTTAATTAAAAAATATATTCTTTATGTAAGTTTTTTTATGAGTTATATCGGAAATTAAATTTATTTACATATATAATAATGCAAACATGATTTCTTTTGCTAAATCTCAACGTTAATCAAGTTTGTAAAAGTTACAGCCGGTTTTCAGAGCCCAATGATCCATTTCAAGGAAGCAAATGTATTCCATTTAGACATAGCATTAAAAAGCTTAACTAAACCTAACTATGAAAAGATCGATTCATTTCCCATGAAAAAAAATCTGAAATAATAAATACAATTTTTTTGAATAGTTCGCTTCCTGGCCTTGTTCTCGGAGCGAAGAGTAGCCCTTCCTCTAATCCCAGCAAAAAGCCATCTGTGTACCGAATTGAAGTAAATCGAATCATAAATACGATTTTTTTTTGGAAAAGGTGAGTCCGTGGTTCACTTCCCGGAGGGAAGAGTGCTTCTGCTAAACCTAGCAAAAACTCCGCAAGTACGTTATCGAATTTAAAAAAACAATCGATAAAAGCCTTTAAAGTAATTTTTATACCAAAATTTATAATTAACAGTAAAATGTGTTGATATAATTCGTTTCATTGATTTTTAAAAATTAATATAAATATTTACATCTACATATTTATGTACATATATATGTAGTATGTACTTTTTTCTACCACTTCCTTTTTGGAGTATCACCATATGACGTCTACATATGACAATCTGAATGTCATCAGTAATATAACCCTGATCTGCAAGATCAATATCAACATACTTCAACGATTATTTACCGATTATTTTGATATAAAATGAAATACTATCTACAAACATATATATACAGTGACTCAAAAAATTATTTTGCACTTCGTCTAATATGTACAAATTTAAAATTTTCCAGCGCTGATAAGATTTATTTGTCTGTTCACTTTGGCGAAAGTTGATTTTAGAAAAAAAAATCTTAAGTTTTGTACTTTTGTACGACAGGTGTCTATAAGGGCATATTACTATGAATATTTTTCAGCTTCAACTGAAAGAAAAATTATTTAAAGTTTATTTTAAGTTTTTTATTAAGTTTCCCCGGCGAGTATAAAACTGTTTATGAAGTGATGTAAATAGAGCAATAATTTCAAAAAAAAAAAAAAAAATATGACAGAGTGGACAGATAAATTTGCTAACAACACTACAAATTCAAATAGCCGTTAAGTTTTGATTTTCAGAAAACTGTACTCCAAAGCAAGTATTGTACATACATACAAGCGAGGGAGCGTTTTCATGTCCGCAAAAGTGGTAAATACAATAAAAAACAAAATTATTTTCCAATTTTAATATATTCAACTGCAAAACGGATACATTTTTCAGATTTTTCAATTGATTTATTTATAACTTCATAAAAATAAGGGCAGCCTTTGCAATGCGCCCATCGGAAATGACGTCTCAATGGCGGAGTTTGAATATTTCTAAAATTCTATTTCAAATACATTACTTTAAGATAGCAAATAGTTGGAATAAAATTTTTTATCTTTTTTTTATATACAAAAAATTTGCCGAAAAAAGCCATACAACCACTTAAACTCCTTAGATTACAAAATACTTCTGTGAGTCACTGTACACATGCACATATGTATATACATATCTGCACAAAATAAATGCACCTGTATCTACTGCATGATATATTTGCCCGAAATTCGCTTGAGCGGTTATATATGATATATTATATATATATATATATATATTATATATATAAACAAGAGTATCAGATAGTATTTTTGCTTCAACTATATGTATATAAGTAATGTTCTGTGTGAATGCTTATCATAAAAAAAAAAAACATTTCGCATCAAATCAATGAATATCTATATAAATTAAATCAAGAAGAGTACAACCGGATACGGGAATAGGACGCCATGGTTGAACGATATTTTGTATGAATTGGAAAAAGAATTGCGGCAAGTGAATTAAGCTCCTCTGTAAATGGCGAGTAATTATAAAGTGAAAAACTAGCCGATCCCATATCAATTAATTTGTGTACGAAATTGTGCAAAATAGTTTTTAAATTAAATGTACCTGCATTGATCAATATACATACATACATACATATACACATGTATGCATGCATTTGCAAACTAAAGTACTTAAATACTATATTAAAAACAATGATTTAAAAAAAAAAAAAAAAAAAAAAAAATATGAACAATAAATAAGAAAAAAATACACAGTGTATTTAAGTGTTTAATCCTTGAGTGTTAGAATAATTTATGACTGTTAAAATTCTTAGTGAAATCAACAGAATGATTTTGCACATCCGCCAACCGGTAGATGTAAATATCTTTTTGCGAAAACTCGAATTCAATTGTGATTTGTATTTGTGTTGCGAATAGTTGCGCCTAAACCAAATAGAACCGGTTACTCTATCGGTGCAAACTGTCTTAGCTGTCATAAGTAGTTCCTTATACGATTTGTGCTAATGCAAGCAATTACAGACATGCAAATTCATTCAAACCACTGCAACGCATGGACAATGATAAAGTAGCAAATGCACATACATATTTCAATGCACAAATTTACACAATACATACATACATATGTACACGTATGTGTGTTTAAGAGATTCAACTTCTAATGTTCCCAGACAATTAAATTAGTAAAAAAATCGCATTCGACGGTGAAATGTGTTACGCTGAGTAAAATAAACGGAAGTTTAAAAATCTATAAACAACAATGAAAACAAAAATCCCCAATTTTCAACAAATAAAATTGTTAAGTGCCTTAAAATAAAAACAAAACAAAAATAAAAAACGCTCCACCGTCAAAAGCCTTTAAAAAAAGTGACAATAAAATACAATGAAAAACAACGTAGATATATATATATATATATGAGTACTTATGCACATACTTGTGTACAGTGTTTAAATTACAATTAAAAAGATTTTACATCAGCCTCTATGAAAGTGTATGAGCTTACGAAAACCGAATGATTTATATGCTTTGATTTGTTGAGCTGTATTTTATTATATACTCCTATGTATATCTATATACACATATATATATATTTTTTTTTTGTTTTATTTTCTAACACTTGTTCAGTATTTTCTTCGTTTTACGATCATTAACACACAATGGCTTTCTACCACTGCGCGCGCTAGCGTTGAAATTTTCGCTGTCTAGCAACTAATGTCAAATGGGTACGCTTGAGCGTGTCTCAAAGCAAAGACTACCAATAACAGAAGCTCTCGCTCTGCAGCGACGTAAAATGGTTTGCATAAAAGTCCACATAAAAACCTGAAAAGAGAGTTATACGAAATAAATATGCATTATTATTAGCTTAACTTGTTGTTGGTTGTACATACATACATACATACATACAAACGTGCATATGCGTGTATAAATATGTTTATAAAATAGCTGCTTTGTAATCGCTTAAGCTATTTGCGTTTAGAATACTTCCCAAATTTATGGTTAGAAGTAGACTTGGAAGTGCTGACAATCTCTGCATGAGGACCGTTTTCTAAAATTGTTTAGATTTTAGTCGCGGTCAGACACCAAATGCGTTACCCTCTCTCTCTCTCTCTCTGTGAGTCTCTGCTGAAGGTTAGGGTTTTGTTAAAAAATACAATTTATTCTAAAGTTTTTTTAGCTATTAGACAGATTTGGGTGTGAATCCGTGAACGATCGGGTGGTATCAAGCAATTTTTGAATAAAAAAAAAATACTTTTCCTAAATTTTTTCAATTATTAATCAGATCTGGAGATGAGACAGCGATAATCCGCTTATAGCACGCACTATTATATAAATCCATTTTTCTAATTGGCGAACTCATAAATCCCGAACCTGATAATTTATAGTTGACATTTTTTGTATGTCCTTCTTAAGACTTTTCATTTTGAGAAAAATCGTATATTGAAATAAGGTCGATAACTATAATTCTGTGACCACTTGTAGATTTGAAATTAAATTTGGAATAAAGTCATAAGATCATCAAAATCGGGCTATTATATATGACATACTCGTAAGCACATAATTCCGATACAACTGTATGATTAAAGGGGTTTCCAATAAGAGGAGTTATTTTGAATGGCCTGCAATACCGGTAAATGTCACTTTTGAAGTTGGAATTTTTTGACATTTGACAAGTAAAAAATTCGCAAATAATTGAAATGGAACGATACACGCCTCAACAACGCAATGAAATTATTACAATTCATTATAAAAATGTTGAAAACCTGGCAGAGACGATTCGTAAAACTAAAACATGTTCAGTCGCTGTCGTACCGTAATACAGAAATTGGTGGAACTGTTGGCACAAGTTAGTGATGTAAGGAATAAAACATGTGCATGGTGCTCGACAACAACAGAGAAGTTTGCTGCTGTAGCCCAAAGTGTTGAAGAAAACATAGGTTTGCCTCATCCTCGTCGTTCTTTGGAATATGGCATTCCACAAACGTCATCACACAGTATTTTCGATAAAAAGCTTGGCTCTTAAGGCTCTTAAAGTTTAGTTTATACAATAACTCTAGTCGAACGATCATCAACAACGTCGTGTCTTTGCAGATTGATTTGGAGTTTCCTCGAGAAATCAGCTTGACTGATAAGGCACATTTCCACCTCGATTGCTACATCAAAAAGCAAAACTCTCGCTTGCGATGCTCGGAAAATCCATGCAACTGTTTGTTTGCTGCGGTTTATGGCCCAGCGCGGTAATTGGACTTTACTTTTTCGTAATTGACGCTGCAACAACAGTTACGGTGAAAAGATGAAATAAGTCTGCGCCACGTGCCACACAAGAAACGAAACCATCGCTATTTTGAGATAAAAGCTTTCGAACTGTTTATCTCTCGAAAAGGAGGGCATGCAAGAATACAAGAAGAGAAGAGAATTTCATAAAAAGGATACGGCTCTTTAAGCGTAGCCGTGGCGGCCATTTGCCTGATATTGTTTTTCATGATTAATGGCATATCTTTCTCTTCAATTGAAATAAACATCCGATCATTTATCTCACAAAATAGCATTTTTCTTTGAATACCAAAATAATCTCTTATTGGAAAACCCTGTATGATTTAGTATCAAAATTTTCACAATTATTAATAAGAATATGAAAATGTTTATTCTGTTCACACAATAAAATGTTATGGCAGGGCTATTCTGAAACCCGGAGTCCTAATGAAATCCGATCGGATTTGCAAAATCATGTTCTGAAATCCTATCGAATTCAATGTATTACAATCTATTTGGTAATCCGATTATTCAATGAATCTGGTATGTTGTATTTCGATTTATCGGAATATACGAATATAGCATATAGTTGGCGCTAACCAACTCGGCTATTGCATTCGCACAAGAATAACGATCGGAAAAATCCTGCGTGGTATTAGTTGGCGGTCTCAGACGTTTTATTTTGTGAATCATAAAAGCGAAAGAATTTCAAATGTAAAGCTTATTCTAATGTAAATTTGTTCTAATTTTAATTGCAAAAAAATTACCGCGACGTTTCTAGATTTTACGGAAAGCTATTTGGACATAGGGAAAAGTCAGGACATTGGCGTAGGTTGGCTGTTTACATCTATTCCTACCAATCCCTGATAACGTCCTTCGCTTAGACATCTCAGCAAGGGTGCCGATTGAAGAAAAGCCGGAATTAACGTTTTTTTTTCACATAATAAGATTGCATTGTGGATTTGGATTGAAATCACATACTCGTAAATCATTGTACCGATTTCAATTCCACACACATTTAGTTTAGCTGAATTTGAGTGCTCTGCTGTAAGTGAATTGAGAAGTAAAGGAATAAGAGTCTTCCAATGTGTTAGTTTTTACTCACTGGATGTTTTTCCAACAATCGTCTGATGATTATAGACTATGCTTTAAGCAACTTTGAACCATTTATTTATTGACGCATTCAAATTTTTAACGATTTCTTGAGGATACTTAGAAAAATCGGACTTACACGGTGTGTCTAAAAAATAACCGAACTTTTTGGATATAAAATAAAATGCACATTATATTATCTTTATTCAAAATAAGATCAATTTGACTCAACACAATGGTTGGAACGATCAACCAGCGCATGCATAGATTTTTTTATGTCATTTATAGAAATATTGTTCAGTACCTCGGTTACGGCTGGGATATCATCATAAAATGCTCCCTTCGTCTTGGTTTTCAGTTTTGGAAATAAAAAATAGTCACATAGTGATAGATCAAGCGAATACGGAGGATGGTCGATGAGAGAAATCCCTTTTTTTATTCAAAATTCGAGCGATTTTTTGGTCGTCATTTAATTCATGTGGAACAAATCGCGCACAGACCTTTCTTTTCCTCAAATCTTCAGTTAAAGTTCCTCAGCCAACATTCTCGAAGTAAAATTTGCATCGATAACAATAATTTCACGGACTTTTTCCACCAGTTCAGCACGATTACTAGTTTCTGGACATCCTGCTTTAGGGTCGTCATTTAAATCCTCACGACCATTTTTAAATCGTGTAAACCACATATAAACTTGCGTACGACTCATACAATCACACGATAAACTTTTTTCATTAATTTTTTTTCAAGTTTGACAGAAAATATTATATTTACTCTTTGTTAAATTTTATTTTTGAACCATTAGCACACTTATGGTTTTATTGAAATGGCTGTCACTTTTACATCTGTCATCCGACTTACATGATGTTAGGTGCGTTTGAAAAAGGATGAATGTATCTCTTAATGCAGCAAATTTTCAATAGATGGCGCTGTATGTTTTATGATTTATATATAACGATCGGTTATTTTTAGGACACACCGTAAAGATCTAACTTTAAGTGAATTTTCAGCGGTAGCTGCTGCCAAAACGATAAATATGTGTTTGACAGAAGAAAAAAGCGTAACAAAAAAGAATTGTCAGTATGTGTAAAAACGAGTTGGCATTTATTGATGATAAAATGTGTGAATTTTTTTTTTAAATCACGTTGTAAATTCGAAATGCGAGCACGACTGAGTTGTTTCACTTTCGGGTTCAAATATAAAAATCGGGATCAAAAATCTTCCATCACTCATTTTTACCATCTTTATAGCCGCATATACATATACTCGTATGTACCATATAGAAAAATGCAAAACGAAACGCTGCAATGAAAGCAAGCTCTGTATTGTGTATTGCGGAACTTCCAAACTCGAATTAGTGTTGCTCAGAACGTGGAGGCGCTAAGATGAATAAAACTTGGTGTGGCGGTACCTATATAGTGCAACTTTTAACTTTACACTAAATTAACATAACGTAAAGTTAATCGAAATTTCCGGTTCGTGTAATATTGGTGTTGTGCAGTGTAAATAAATCGACGAGAAAAAAAATTAATTTGGATTGTAAACTTCAAATTTCATAAATTTTTCATACCTGTGCGTGATACAAAATATATATTGATCTCGTGACGTTGTTTTAAAATTTTTCACCAGTTTCTTGTGTGTTTTTGTCTTTTCTGCATTGACACTGTTTTTTTTTATTTTTTGTTATTAACCACTTCAACACAATAACCATTCGCATAAATAAACACAAATTTGTCAAAAGAGAACCAAATTAATTTAATGGTCATAACATAAAAAGATAATTTGATTTGAATATATAATTGCACAGTCGAATATGATTAATGCATGATAAAACTACACAAATACATACATATATACATTTTTTAGTGAAAAGAAATCGTTAATATTGCCATAATTTAATATGAAGTAAATATTTGCTGGTGATAGAAATTTGTGTTGTGCTTAATTCATTCAAAAAAAAATCTAACAATGCGGCATATATTGGCATTAAGACATTTACGACAACGGTTTCATTTTAATTTGTTTATATTTTTGTAAATGTCAATGCCTACGCAACTTTTTGACAACAACTTTAAAGCAAGTTTAATAACTGCTTTGTTGTATGTGTGTGAATAGATACAAGGCAGCAGCCAAAAGGGTTATTAACCGTCAAAAACACACTAGTGGTGAAAAAAATACTCTGCTCTGTCTAGCAGAAGAATTCAGCAAGAATATTTTTCGAAGTTTCAAATGCCATGGTTCTTGTGAAAAAACTTTGCTGATGGCGCTCTAGTGTGAATCAAATCCTTTTTATTATTTACATTTTATAATTTTATCGATACACAACAACAATTTCCAGAAATAATTGTTAAAAGCTTAATTTGACACTTTTTGAGTTACGGGGCACACCTAGTGTACTGGTCTAAGAAAAGGTGATTTTTGGGAATCATTATTAAAAAAAAAGACCTTATCAATTATTTCAAAATTTTAAGAATATATTTATACATGTTTCGAGAATATACAGTGAAATTTTTTAAGAAAAAAATTAAATATTTTTTAAGCTATAGTCGATCTCCAACAGCGCGAAAAAAAGGTCGTTCACTGCTGCAGTGATTCCGGCCTTCCTCGTGGATAAAATCTAAGAAAATATTCTCGTTAAACTAGATAATATTGTCTGTACAATGACCTACGATAAGAAAAAATCAAAAATAGCCAAATTGGCGGCGTTTTAAAAAAAATTGTCGAATTTTTACCAAAATTTTGGTCGTTTTTGGCCTGCCAAAATTCGATTTTTTGATCAGATCAAAAATCGATAGGAGACTATATATAGAACATGTAAAAAAAAATCGATAGTGATCGGATTATTTGTTTTTGAGTAATCACTGCTGCAAATTCGGAAAATGCTGTTTCGAGAAAAACGCGTTTAAAGATAAAATGATCGTTTTCACTCGTAGCTAATGAGACTCTCTAGCTGCCGAGCGGCTGCTCTTTAAATTGCTATAACTCAAAAACTATTTGAGATATCGATTTGTAATTTTAATATGTTATTTTTAACGGTGTAATCTACCGAAATGTGAAAAAGATTCGAAATTTCCCATTAGGTGTGCCCATTAAGTGTTATCGCTTGTTTCTTTATGCCGAATTCGTCGAAAATATTATACAAAAAATATTTTTTTTTAGGCCAAAGGAAAAAAATTTCAAACTTTTTGATGATCCAAAAACGTTTATCTCTACACAGAAACCTTTTCAACGCTTACCTGACGCACTTATACCCGCCTTGCTGCAGTGAGCGCTTGTATCACGGCTAATCATGCCCACTCAGCTCGTTTTTAATACCAATAGATTGTAATCTGTATGGTTGTCTAAGGGCAGGTTCAGCGCAATAGATTCCGTCACCCATTCAACGACCGTTTAAATGTCCCAAGCTCCGCCGGCGGGCAGCATATTCTCTTTTAGTTTTGCCTTAAACCTTCATTCTCGGATAAAGTCGTTTTCGCTGAAATATTTCCTTTGGAGTAGTTCTTATTATGCAGACCGCAGCAAGCCACTGTATCCACTCTATTGACTCTCTGTACGAGATTTTATTGCTCACAGGCTACCACATAAAAGCACCATGAAGTATGGTATTTAACAAAAATTGTCCTTAATAGTTCAAGGTCTATTTACCTATGAGTACTTTATGATAAAAAGTACCGTCGTTTTTTCTTTGGTATTAACCTTGAAGTTGCCCAATATCGATGATCAGTGCTTTTGGAAACTGCGTCCACATTCACCCTATAATGCTGTTCTTCTTATTCTTCTTCTTTATTGCTGTAAACATCGCTTACGGGATTATAAACGAATCAACAATAGAGTTCCCTTTGTTCCTTTCCTACGCTGCTTGGCGTCAATTGGAAGTACCATCATGTGGTTTCATGATCCCTTCAACGGCTTCCAAGAACTGCGGGTACTGCATCGAATAGTCTCTAAACTGGAGTGCTTTCATTCTCTTTTCATTCGTTGAACTATGCCAATATCACCATAGTATAACTCATACAGTTCATAAATCGTTCACAAAACTTTTCTTTTGAAGACTTCCAAAGACGACTTATGAAGTGTTGACAAAGCCCATGCTTCTGCACCATATCGGCAGGGCAGTAGTTATGACCAACTTGCAGAGTTTGATTTTGGTTGGTTGAAAGATGACTTTACTTTTCAATAGCCCACTCAGTTCAAAGTAGCACCTGTTGACAAAAATGACACTGCTTTAGGTTTCCAGGCTCAACCGTGATGTGGGAGCCAAGACGCGTGCGCGCTTACTATTCAATTCATGACAGGAGATATTTCGTCTTAACCTCACACACACTGTCAAACCGATTTGTCTCGTTCGTTTTTCCAAGTTTGGAGAAAGCAGTGGCTAGCATTATTGTATACTAGTTTAAGGACTAGATTTTAGATTATTCTTAGTTGCATGAAAATCATAATATATTTATTAATATTTTATTCTCCAAAAAGCGAAAATTTACATATGCTGCGGGCCCTAATGTCGACGTTAGTTTGCTTGCGTCTCCCAATTCTTTGATAACTCTTCGAAACTTATTTTAGCGCTACTGGAAACTGTATTCACATGCACCCGATTACCATCTGTTGCTGCCTTCTAAATCATTGGTATGATAAAACTTGATGGTTAAAAATGTATTTGGTTTACTTTTACGTTTCGGATGTAAAATATTTCAACTTGTCGAAAGTTGGCAAAAGGTTATACAACAAAAATGTGCGATATATCATTGATTAATATATGTATGTGTGTTGTTATTATAAATAAATTGGCTTAAAAAATGTGAGAACCAACAACGTTAATTATTTAAAAAAAAAACATAAGTTGAGTGTTTGCATAAAGGCTCTTATGAGCCTCGTGTACATGGCGTATGAGTGACATTTAATAAACATAATTTTGTGGAAAATTATTATTTTCCAAAATGAATATGTGTGCATACATACATATGAACAGCGCACTAATTATTTAAATAAATTATTTTTGATAACAATAAAAATACTATTGTACAACCATTACGGTGTTTAAATCCTTCAAAATGTATAAAAATGCCTACAAGATGGTAATGTGCATTATACCATATACATATATGTACAGAGCAAAATTTATAATAACTTCGACCTTCTTTGGCAACAATTCATTAAAAATATTACTTAAAATTGACCAATAAAACACATGCAAAGCTCTTCATAAAAAAAAAATCCATGTATTTTATTATACTTAATGCTGCGCGTATTAAAAAACGTAACACCACGAAATTAATGAAACTTGTTTTTGAGTCCATAAATGAGGAAACTTTTTAGCATCACTTAACGCTTCATTGTTTACTACTATTTATTCGCTCTTTGTTAACCGCATTTCAAAGTTAAATCTGATTATTTATGCTTGTATTAAGTAAAGTGCCTTAGTTTGTTTTCATTTGAGCAAACGCAAAACGTTTTCACTTTGACGAATATAAGCCATTTAAGAATTGAACAGATATATTGAAAATTATATAAAAATTATATAAAATAAAATCGTGTACAAAAAAACAACAACAACAAAAAATATCAAAATAAATGCTTGCCTTTCATAAACTACAATAATTTGCTATGCTTCTCGTTTTGTGTGCGTCAATTGCAATGATTTCTTTGATATGTTTGTATGTGGCTGCTTGCATATTATAAATTACAACATACATATGTACACAGTATTTTTTACATCGGTTAGTGCTTAAGATTAGCTCCAACTAAAATTTTAATCAAGATTTTCCTACATATTTTTATTTCTTTCGGCGGTCATCTTGTTCAACTTGAACTTTGCATTTACATCTACATATACATATGTGTATGTGCACATACCTTCATGTGTATACTCATGCACCACACGTGCATAAATGTTACAAAAGTTTACTGTAAGTTATCATATTACATATGTACATATGAGTATTTCTGTTGCGCTCGCGCACGCTGTCTAATTTTGTATGTCGTCCGTGACTTAATTATTTTTACAACACACAGAAAGGTATTAAGTGCGAAAAAAAAACAAAAAAAAAATAATAACAATAACAACGTGTAACAAAAAATTAAAAACGTGACATCTTTTTCTTTACAGTTTTATAATTAACAATTTTTAATTTTATTTTGTTTTTATTTTTTTTTGTTTATTTTGTTTTTCAACTTCATTCACATTCAGTGACAGGCAAGCAATGGCAGCTGCAGCAACTATGAAAGTGATTTTTATTCAACCATAAAGATAATCGGACACCAATTGTTATAAACCTTTAATTGCATACAAATATTTTATGCACATAATCATAGTAACAATAACAATAAAAATAATTGAAACACGCCCACCACAAGTTAGAAATCAGCAGTAAGTGAAGGCAAAGCATACTCGTAAATGTAAAAACTAAAAAAAAACAAATAAAAATTCAATAAATTACCGTTAATCAGTGAACATAAAAGAACTTTGTGGCATAACTTTCAAACAATACAAATTATTGTGCAAAATAATTCAAGATTATATGTTAGACATGTATATATATATATGTATATAACAGATATGTGTGTAGAACATTGCATACAAATACATATAAAATATAAATAACGTAACAAAAAGTAAAAATAGTTTACATAAAACAAAATAAAATTAAATTAAATTAAACAGCAAAATCGTGCATTCCACCGGTTTCAGCGCATGTATGTATGTACATACTTACGTGTACATACTCGTAAGCATATTAAATGACGGCGATGGACAAGGCGACGGAAGTTAAAAACGGGTAAATTCCATATGTAGAAATCATTTAAATTGCTATGTACAAACAAATATATTTAGCTATTGGAGTGTTAATCATCAGCAGTACCGATAGCCGGTCTTATTTTTTTTTAATATAAATAAACCAATGAGTCCGGCGAACCTCGTCTCGCCTCAATTTTTGAATTAACTCCAAAGTGATAGCAAAATACAATATAAGTACTTCAAATGTTATTGTGAATTATTTTCATGAAATCGAAGTTAGTAGAAAATGATATGGTAGAAGCCGATTACTTTTTCAGCGCAAGCGCAAACAGCAGAGACGGTTTGGCAAGACACCAAAATCAAAATTATGTGTGCACCCCTTTCATTTTCTTCTGCGCGCCCTGTAGCCTATTGTTGTAGAACGCATTAGTCAAGTAAGCAACTCTCCCTTAAGCTTACTTAAGTAGTTTCAAAAAAGATAAATTTAAATAAACTACGAAAAGAAAAGAATTTCAAGCAAATTAAACCATAAATTAGATTTTTAAGAACAATTTTCTGGCTGCTAATATAAGCTACGGATCTGTTAAATCTCAAGTGAGTCGAATCATAACAAAGATTTCCACTGATACATTTCCCGAAACAAAGTTAAAATTTCTTTGTAGAAACCTGCTAATATTAAATACAAAAAATCCATCCAAGAAAGGCTCTACATTTTTTCATCAATTTTAATATACTTGTACATAGGTATGCAGATAAGGGTTTCCCATTGGACAAGATTGAAAATTAACTACATGCCCCGTTCTGTGAAATGTTTTTTTCTCTCACGTAAATGCATAGCACGCGCACGCGTTCGAGCTTAAGTCAAACGTATGATGCCATCTATGGGGCTATGGAACCGACCAAGCACTTCGTTACTTCGGAAAAAAAATGTCTAAAAGCTTATTAATTCGAACCATATATAAGGTTTTTTTTTTTCAAATACTTTAGTCCCTGGTATGCTTCACGGCAGCAAAACCTAACTAAAAAGCTTTCATGTACCAAATTTCGTGAAAATCGAACCATAAATACGAATTTTCCGAATAGATCAGTTCCTTTCCAACTTCGCGGTGTGAAAACCTACAGACATGCACAAAAAATTTCATAAAAATCGGTGCAGTCGTTTCGAATGAGTTTGGTTACAAGCACTTTATATTATGAAAATATTTATTAGATTATAACGGGGTTGTTAATATTATACTTCTCTATATATATTATATACAAGCAGACACGGCCACAAGTTGGTATGATTAAAGAAGTGATTGGTGAAAAATGATTAAAATTTCTAATTAATATTCAGCTAATGTAATATATTTCATTTACTATGATATACATATTCATATACCTACATATTTGCATGAAAGTGCACATACTGTTTGGCGTTTGTATGTTGCTATGACTGAACTATATTTTATCTACTTAATATTAAAAATATGCAAACAGCTGCTTTTTGCGATTCATGGTAGGTTGGTAGGCAGGTAAAGTGGATGCGTGACGAGTCACATAGGTCTTTGGGAGAACCATTGTGCAATCATCGGTACTAAAATTCCCTCACACTACCAGGTCCCTACTAAAATACCCTGAGGTCTTGCTAAAGTTATTTTATTGATTTATATAATATGTATATGTAACTTCCGTGATATTGTTAAAAAAAAACCTTGAACGGGTGAGTAGGTGGTGGCACTGCAACCACTCCGCCTCGAATTTGTGGTTTTGCATTTTGAGGTTTTTCCAACAAGTAGAGGGACGTACAGTTTATATTAAGCCTGCTCCGAACGGCTGCTGGTTTTTTTTTGAGAAGCTTTTATTTTATTTCAAAAATACCGTCGTAGGGCTTGACATTTCCTGCCGAGGGGCAACCGCAATTAGGAAAAATAGTTTTGTATAAAATTTTGGATGTTGATCGAACCAGCACTCGAGTCCTGGCATTCAGAATGGCACTACGCAATGCTAAACACTCAGCTATTGCGGTTGCTTACATTATATTATATTTATTATATTATTATTATTACAAGCATTAATACACACATTTATATCATGATGGCTTAGACAAAGCTTTTATATTATATAGTAAAAATTCACAGGGTAAATCTGATATTCTCCTTTATGAAATTTTCTGGTTCTAAATAAAACCATGTAAATGCTTTCTTTTTTCTCACTATTGCCATTAAATAATTTTAGATTTAAATACACGTTTACTATTAAAATAAATAAATTAATTACTTTGAAAACCGGGCTAACGACTTTAGTACCAATTCCGCATCAAAGACGGTATTAACTCGAATGGGATTGGCCTTTTGCGGTAACTTTGCATAGTAAACGTTAAGAATTTAAGGTGCATTTCCTATATATTAATATTACAAGAATTTATGTAAACACAGATATGTAAGTATCTAGATTGTTTTAGATTGACACTTTAATGACGATAAACATTGCTTAGCTTAACTACTAAATCTATGAATGCTTTAGTTTCGGATTTATATAATTAATAAAATAATTATAATAATAATAATTACTTTTATAGAATTTATTTTTTTTTTTAGTTAGATCAATTACTTCAAACAAAACTGTATTATTTTTAATTTAAATATCAGACATCGCAACACATGCAAAATATTGAGGCAATATCTCGTGCTTTCTTTGGAGAGCTAATTAAGAGCTGGTACCTGTTGCTACCAATTATGCTGACCATATGAAAGAACGAGACACTGACAGATAAAATGGACAGCTGTTTCCTTTTTTCCTTCCAGTTCGAAGGTGTGAGAGTTACTGCCATAGGACAGGCTCATTTTAGATGCATGGGATGTAACTGTAAATCTATATACAATATGTACATATACTTTTTTTAGTCTCACCTTAGGTCTTAACCTATCATGTTTAGGCCTGAAAAATTCATTTTCCTGATTGTTCTAAGCGAACATGGCATTAACTCCACCCTGTGAGCTTAAAACTTGTTTATTTCCGCTTAGGAAAAGTTTGGTAAGCTAAGAGAGTGAGAGGTCGGGCTCTTGGAATATAGTAAGCGTAAATTGAGATGGTCTCAAGAGAATTTCGTCCAGAGATGATAACCCACAATATCTTGTTCAGACGCCGTTATATACGCAAAAAGTCTCTTTTTCATAAGTTGCATGGTGAGAGGGAATTATTGGTCCCCATTTCTTCAAATATGAAGTCGGTCATTATGTTACAGTAAATGGCGAATGCTATAGAGCCATAATTAATGACTTTTTCGTAACTGAATTGAAGGATTTGATGTGAACGATCATTGGTTTCCTTAAGACGGCGCACAATGGGGTAGAAGTGCTCGAAACACGCGCATTAGAGCAGAAATTAAAGTAGTAGTCAGCACATTTTTTTTTGTTAATTTTTCTTATTTAACATATATTAGACCATCAGAAAAGATTCAGAAGGCGATAAAATCGAACAATGCATTCCAGTGGCCTGACCACTCAAAACTAGGCAATATGCAGTAGAATTTCCTGTGTTTGAAAATCCATTTAATAGTTGTCTGTACAAAAATGTCTATAGAAAAAACATTTGTCAACTAAATGAGTCTAATATAATAATAAAATTTTTATGAAAAAATAATAACTTTAATCAGTAATGAGTATCCAAATCAACTATTTGTTAAGAGGGATCAACAATTAAGAAATTTTTCTTTTCTAATTCGCAGAACTGTTAACAACCAGCCGTATTTTATACAAAATGGCAGAAGGAATCTGTCGCCCGATAGTGCTGGCGATATGCCGGAGATTAGCGGTTTTCGAAGCGCGTTGCCACAATTTTTAGCTGTAAGCGCTAAAAACATATTACTTTTTGGTAAATGAGTATTAGATTTATACACACACATATGTACATACACATTTTTTTATTTAATTCATGCAAATTTGGATTGATTATTACGAGAAATTATTCACGTTAATTTTTCCTTGACAGTTTACGGTATGACGCTTGGCTTTCCCACCATTGTAATACCAGCCATACAGGGTGGTGATGGACGTGAACCCAGTGATATAGTTTTAAATAGAGATGAAATATCGTGGTTTAGTAAGTATTGAAGGTATAATTTAAATATTTCAATATAAATAATAGCATTTGCTTAAATGAAAATGATGATTTTATACCTTCTAAGGAGATTTTTTATTGGGTTTTTACTTTATTTATTTCATTATTATTTATAAATCATAATTTAATCATAATTTTAAAGGGTGTTTTTTTAGATGAGACGGCCAAGAAATTTTTTTTCAGCGATGAAGCTCACTTTAATTTGAATAGGTAATATACTTAACTATCGCATTTCTAGGGATAATAATCCAGAAGCCTTTGCTGACCCGTCGTCACAACCTCAAACCGTCACTTTTTGGTGTGATCTATGGGCGGAGAGAATCATTAGTCGATGAAGCCGAACATTGTGTTACAATCAGTGGGCAACGCTATAGAGTCGTGATTAATGACTTTTTCGTGCCCAAATTGGAGAATCTTGAAGTGGACTACCTTTAGTTCAAACCCGATTAGCCTACATGCCATATAGTCAACGAAACAATCAATTTATTGAAGAAAACTTTTGGTGAGCGCATTATTTCGCGTCGTGCGACTGCGTAGTGGCCTCCAAAGTCATTTAATATAACACCGCTGGACTATATCTTCCGTAGTTATGTGAACGATTGACACTTTGGAAGAGCATTTTCGCCGCGTTATTGCTAATTTACGGCCGCGGTGGCTGCAAAAAATGATTGAAAATTGGGCCTCTGGGTGGGAATTTATTGGAGCAGCCGCCGTTCTTGCCGGAATTCTTCAAATTTTTATAACAAAGTTAAATTTTTAGCAATAGCATTCAATTATATGGGATTATTTCGTTTTGAAAACCAAATAAATAAAAAAAACACCCTCTATTTTCCAAATTTTAAGCATATTGAACCGTAAATATGATACTTTAACATATATCGGTACCGGAAAGCCACACATTGAATTGGAATAGACCGATTCCAGACCCACTTACTGGAAGAAAATGTGTTCTTCGTATTAATTTAGGCCCAAAGCCACTTCAGTTTTAAATATTATGTAAATCAAATAACTACCAAAATCGAACGATTTGAGGTTTCATTCCCAAAAAATCTTTTTTTATGCGATGACTGCGTTGTACACACCCTCCAAGTATCAGTGGTTGAGGCTGCGAGTAGATCCGCCTGACATTCAGGACAAAGACCTTTGTACTCTTGTGGATACCATACCTTTATTATGTGTGGAATATGTAGCCAGCACTTTTAATATATTATACAGGGCTTATTATTAAGAGGGCGATTTTGATTCGAATAAATGAAATCTTAAACTGAGCTACCGCTAGATTTTGAGTTTAAGTAAGATTTTCTTTCTAGATATAAGCACAAAAATTCATAGTTTTTGTCAATTTTAAAAATTAAATCGTTATAGGTTCAATTAATTTAATTTGCGTGCCTTTGGGGTGCCTTTTTTCGGGTGTTCTCTCACAGCCGATTGGAAAACGACGCGCTATGCAGGTACATTTAAACATACTGGTCGTGTTCGGTGAGCTGATGGGCAGTAATAATTGTTAATAAATTTTGAGACAAAAAGTCAGTAAGGTTTGCAGCGGGAGAGCGCAATTTTAACACTTCTTTACTGACTAATTCTTACTGCCATTTCTCGCCGAACAGAGCTACTATATTTTAATACTCGTATATATATTATATATGATTATAATTAACTTCCTATGACATTAAAAGTAAATTAAATTCATTCACTTTTAGTTAGTCAATTTACCTATTTTGGCTTCGTGGTTACTCTTTCACTTTTCGACACGTACAGAGCATCTCTATGCCGCCTTATGTTTGAGCGGTTTGGGCGGTGGCCTAATGGAAGCGCCGGTAATTATTTTTCTTCACATAATTGACATATTAATCTTTCAATTACTACTACTATTAATTCCATTTCTTTAGGTACTAACATATGTAGCCGAAATCACTGAACCCAAATATCGTGGCATTTTATCGGCGCTCGGTTCTACCTGTGTCATTACTGGCGTATTCATACAATTCATAATGGGCTCATTGTTGGATTGGCGTACAATAGCCGCTTTGAGCTCTGCTTTTCCGGTGATTTGTATAATTGCGCTGTGTTTTGTGCCCGAAAGTCCAACATGGTTAATACGAGAGCATCGTTTTCGTGAGGCTGTAAAAGCATTGCAATGGCTACGTGGCTGGGTGCCGGAATATATGATCGAAGCGGAATTCAATCGACTATACGAAGAATTGATTACACAGCCGGCGTTGGAAGAAGCAGCTGAAAATCATGGCGAAAAGCCATCCAAGTGGACAAGCCGTTTTAGAATGTTTCGCAAACGATCCTTTTTGGCGCCATTTATATTAGTAACATTTACGTTCTTCACAGGACACTTTTCCGGCAAGACGCCTCTACAAACATATGCTGTGCAGGTGAGAAGTAATTTTTGTTTATTTTTTTTTTTAATATATTATGTATATATATACAATATATATATACAATTGGCGCTTTGTAACCGCTGAAGCGATTCTCGGCCGAGCTCCTACCCCAATTTGTGGTTTTGCGTGTTGGTATTTTTCCAACAAATGGAGGGTCCCACAGTTTCTATTAAGCCGCCTCATAACGGCTGATGTTTTTTTTTATCATAAGCTTTATTTTATGTCAGAAATACACACGGCGGGGTTGACATTCCCTGCAGAGGGGCCATCGCGATTAGAAAATTTAGCTTCATTCAATTTTATATAACTTTTTGGATGTTAGCACGACACCAAGATTTGAACCCGAGCCTTCCGAATGGCAGCGGGCAATGCTAACCACTCGACTACCGCGGCCGCCCATATTACAATATTTCGGGCAAGTAACCACCGCGGCTAGCTCAAATAAACGTTACAATTTTCGACCACTTTTGCAACATTGGGGTTCTACGTCAACAATAATGCACCGAATATCCCCTTCCAAGGCGTCAATCGTGTCGGGCTTATCTGCGTCGAAAAGCGACTTTACATAACCCCTCAAAAAATAATCGATCGGTGTTAAATTAAACGACACAGTCCCGCGGCGCGAAAAAATGCGCTCACTAAAAGTTTCCTTCAGAATTTGATTATTTCGCTGACTGTATGGCATGTAGGCTTATTTGGTTGGAACTAAGTCGTCGAGTTGAACTTTATCCCAAATTTTAGCACGAAAAAGTCATTAAACACGGCTCTATAGCATTCCCCATTGAATGTTGAATGTTCGGTTTAATTTTTTAAGAAATATGGACCAATGATTTCCTCTGCCCACAGAGCATACGAAGCAGCGACTTTTTGCGGTTGTGACATGGTCTCAACAATGGCTTGTGGATTATCATTATTCCAAAATGCAACAATTTTTTTCAATTAATGTACTCATTCGAAAAAAAACACCCTTTACATACATGTATATACTTTCAGATTTTCCACACTTTAAAAGCACCAATCAACAAGTATCATGCCACTATTTTGCTGGGAGTTGCCGAGATGATCGCAACAATATTGTGCGTCATACTTATCCACTTCACCGGAAAGCGTCCATTAGTAATGATGTCTACAATCGGTGTGGGTATCTGTATGTTTGGCACTGCAACATATGCTCATTATGTCAAAGTCGTGCCAGGTTTTGCAGTGGATAATGTAGTCAGCAATGCTTCCAACATTGTTCCGAAGGAGAATTTAATAACCCAAGCAAATATAAGTAAACTATTTGAAGCCGACAGTTCTGCTTTGTTGCCGGAAAGCTTTATGGATCAACAATTATTGGAAACAACAACGGTTTACGAAACACTAGGTGATCTCGATTTGGATACAACAACGTTCGCGCAGTTTAACAATGAATCCGAGTTGTTATTGCCCACTTTAAATCGTACAAAACGCGAAGAACAAGAACTTTCGCTTAATGATTATAATGATCAATTATCCTTTGTAGAATTGCCGGGACTAGATTTTGCCGACGCGTTGAATAGTAGTCAAAAGAACTCATCGTTTTTGGATATTTTTGACTCGGAAGAAGATGTGGAAGCAAGCACAAAAGCACCAATATTGTCTGAAATAATATCAACAACTTTGTCTCCAATTTTAGTTAATGAACCCAAACCGATGTTGCCTTCAACAGAAGAAGTAACAAAGGAGATACTGCTCCCAGTGCCAACACAATCCACCAACAATTTAGTTTGGCTTCCGCTGATTTTATTATTGGGTAGTGCATTTTTTGCACATCTGGGCATACGTATGATACCTTGGATACTGATCGGTGAAGTATTTCCGGCGCCGGTGCGTAGCACTGCATCCGGCCTTGTCAGCGGTTTGGGTTATATTTTTGGATTTTTGGCTAACAAGCTTTTCCTTCAAATGTTATCTGCCTTCACTTTACCAGGTACATTTTGGCTTTATTCGGCAGTGGCTTTGGTGGGGGCATTCACATTGTATTTTACATTACCCGAAACCGAGGGACGCACCTTGCATGTTAGTAATTCTAAATTAACATTATTAAAGTTTTTTTTTCTAAATTTAATTCACTTTGTTTTTTGTTTTAGGAAATTGAAGCGCATTTCTCGAAAAAATCGAAAACAAATTTAATGAAGAAATCATGCCGTGTAGATTTGAAGAAAAGAGCATCCATACAACTGGATAATCTTCAAAATTTGCAAATGCCTATTAGTGCACAAGCCGAGGCGAAGATAATTCAATTGCAACAAAGCGATTTCTTGCCTCAACGTACCCCAACCGGTGGCGAAGTCAATCACGCGTTTGAAGAGAATAATACAACGCATTTATAACAGCCATCATAACCGTTATCAATACGATTAAATTTGTACATATTGTATGTATCTTATATCAACTTGTAATCTTGAAACTGTATTCTTTCGCAGATTTGAAATAAGTATTATTATTTGTATAATTATGTACTAAGTGTGTAGGTATCGATGTAAATATAATGTACATTAATATAAAAATACAGTCATTCCCTGAAGAATATTTTGAAAGAAAAATGTTAATGAATTAAGTAAGAAAGTTGTTCGAAAGTCAATAATTAAAGGATAATAAGAAATAATTTAATTTTGAAGAAAGCATAAGAAACTTTTTGGAATAATTGTCTGAAGGTTCTAAAGCAAGGCTGCATCGTAACGCTAAATTTCAATAGAATAAATTGAAGCATTTGGGAATGTTATTCTTGAAGCAGCTATCAAAATAACTCCAAAACTCGTCAGTGATTCTAATCAACCAAAATTCATAGCAGAACAAGTGAGAGAAGCACTTAAGATTCTGCCACCACTTCTCCGAGGCAACTAAGCTCTGCGCTACAGTCAAATCATTCTCAAATCCGACGAGGTGCGACAACGGAAAATGCGGAAATTTCATTCGGTGTCCGCGCCTCTTCGGACTGCCGAACACCAGCGCGACATTTGATTTCTCTGGGGAAGAGTTTCAGGGGGTTGACGGAAAGGCGAAAACCTTCAAATTCATCGGCCCCGACGAAATAGCCATAGCGATGCTAGAACATACATACAGGATCAGCAGGTGCAGAATACTCACCATGGTTCCTCACTTGCCTTTGACCCTCTTAACAATACCCAACATGTGGGTAGTCAACAAAGGATAGTCATATTGTCCGATATCTCTACTCTCTTCAGTACCGAGGGCGCTTGAGATTTTGCACATTAGCATGGCTTCCGCAAGGTGCACTGCGTCACAACTGCACGTAAAGTCATTAACACTCAGATAGTCAATGTTTTCAACCAAACTCGGCCTTTTCCGCGAACAGTTCTGGCAGCACTGGATCTGTCAAAAGCTTAGGTGCTACTATCGGACATTGAGGAAGCCTCATGCGCTACCGGAGTGGTCGTCAATCATCGGCAGAATTTCGAGATCAAACATCGCAACTCCGAAGTTTAAACCAGAGGTTCCCTTTTTTACCGGCTGGGATGTTTCTGTTCTCACAAGCCGATGATTGCTCGATATTGTATTCAGCACCATCTACGTCCGTCAACACTTTAATACATTCTCTGTCGGTGAATGACTCCGAGAGTTAAACCGCCACCTACAGCAGACGAAAAGTTCGAACTGTCACAAGAGTCACGCGTAATACTGGTACGACTCAGGCCTGGATATTGTAGTAGCTTAAACTCTAGTTTATTCATACTCGACCTAACCAGAGTGCAGTTAATATCGCAGCGAGCAGTCGTATTGAAAATAACCCTTACGCATAAACCACACAAAATTCGATGTCGGTCTGAACAAAGTACTTACTACTATTCTCAGGTCATGCATCATTTTTGGTCATAAAAAATTCTTTGAACACAGTTCAAAATTCACCATACCCAAAGAATTCGTTTTCTCTTTAAGCCACAAATCTGGCAGCTCTTTTACATAAAACAGCTGCTGGTATTTTATGTAAATAAATAGCTGATAGTGCAAGAAAAATGTCATTAACACAAAAATTAAATATTCTTTTTAAAAGAAAATCTATGAAGTATGGAGTGCCATTTTTAATTTTAATTGTCGGAGGTTCGTTTGGGTTAGAGCAGTTCACTCGTCTTAGGTAAGTATACGCTTTTACCCTGTAATTGAAATTCACCTGTGTACCCGTACCCCTCTTTTCAGATACCAATTTTCTCGTAAAAAGCCGGTTACCCCCGATGAAATGGAAAAGTATGGTGTAACAATGAAAAAGGCAGAAGAAGTCACATTAGACAGTGAATACGAAAAAATTAAAGGATTGAACATTGATGAATGGGAAAATAAACGCGGTCCCAGGCCTTGGGAAGAGACACAATAGTGTTTGTTCAGGTTGAAAGAGTGCATAGTAGACATGTTGCTTATTTTTAGTACTTAGTTTATAAGTGATCCTTTTTTCTGCAAAATCGTATTGACTTTGTAAATAAATTATATTGTCTGCTTTAAAATCCTTATTATATTTACTGTGAACAGTTTGAAGGGAATAGTTTTTTTCTTTACATTGTTGGCAATGCTGTTAAGGTGAGTACATATTTTGACGTTTCAGGAAAAATTCTCAGCTGCTTGAAAATATACAACCCGTGGGTAAAAATCGCTTTCACTAACAACTTCACAGTTTATAAATTAAAATTTTAAATTAATTTAAATTTCTGCTATTGCAAAAAAAATTTCAAAATAACTTCTCAAAGTGAAATGACACCTAAACTTAAATTCGCCGAAGGTAAATGTATAACTCAGCGAAACTTCCAGCTGCTTATGTTTATAAAGGAAATTTCATTTGCTATATTACTTATTTTTACAGGCGAAAAAGTTTTATGTTTTCATGGTCCACTTATTTACGAAGCTAAAGCATTAAAAAGTACCATTACAAAGGATAAGCAAATTAAATACTACATTCATTACGCCGGGTGGAACAAAAAGTAAGTAAAAATTGTCGAGCGTCTCTAGCTGCGGCCAATTTTAAATTTTGTCTCACACAGTTGGGACGAATGGGTGCCAGAGAACCGTGTGCTCAAGTATAATGAAGCAAATGTTCAGCGTCAAAAGGAGGTGTATAAACAGCATTCTAATTCAGCAGGAAAAAATAAGAAAAGTAAGTGGTATGGTTAACGATTTTGTATTTATTTATCTATAATTTTTCTTCATTCAGGTACTCCAAAAGGCAAAAAGGGTGAAGCAGCTGCTGGTGCTACTTCAAAAGACGGAGCTGCAAGCGGCAGTAGTGAATCTCGCGCTTCCACGCCATCTAAAGATTTAAATACTACACCCTTAGCTGCTCCTTCGACCACTGGTAGAGGAAATCGTTCGAAGCCAAGTACTAGTACGCCAATAGCCAAAGATATCGATACAGGAGCTAACGCAAAAGAAGATAGTAATGCAACTTCTACTGCTAATAAAGATGAAGGAACCAAAGATGAGCCGCCCAAAAAGAAACGTGGAGGTTCCACTTCAAACGCTAGTGACAAATCTAATGGCAGTGGTGCAAGTTCAAGCAATAATACATTGACAACTCCTTCAGCCAATACTAGTGGAAGTGTGAGTGGATCAGTGCAAAATCGTTTGGATACTTGTGTGGAAACCGAAGAAACATTCCTTTCTAAAGTTGAGGTGAAAATTAAAATACCAGATGAATTAAAGCAATGCCTTGCCGATGATTGGGATGCCATTACTCGTCAACATAAACTACTTGACATTCCTGCAAAAATAACCGTTCAGGATATTGTTGATCAATACATTGCGTTCAAGAAAACCTCAAAATCGACAAATGCCTCTAAGGAAGTAGCAATTAATGACGTATTAAATGGCGTAGTTGAGTACTTCAATGTTATGATCGGCTCACAGTTGCTTTACAAATTTGAAAGGCCACAATATGCGGAAGTACTTCAACAACATCCGGAAACGCCGCTTTCCAAACTGTATGGCGGGTTCCATCTACTGCGATTATTCGTTAAACTAGGGTCTATGTTAGGTTTCTCTGCCTTAGATGAGAAATCGATGCAGATGTTATTAGTACATCTTCATGACTTTCTTAAATTTCTTGTCAAGAATAGTGCCACTTATTTCAGTATGACTAACTTTGTCAACGTTAGTCCGGAGTACCATCGCAACACTCAATGATTTTAAATGAACTGCTGGGAAAATTATATGACAATGGATATGGCACCTTAGCTGAATGTAGGCGTTTCAGAGATTTATCGAGAATAAAGCAGTGGATTACATTATTTTAACTTAATCGCAAATTCATTGGGTCTTTACTGGAAAAATTGAAGAATAACTGCATACTAACCCATTTTACATATATAGGTTTCCATTATAGTGATATCACGCTTTTAGTTTAACGTGATATAAGTTTTTTAATCTATTGCCAAATGTAGATTTCTTTCTGTATTTAAAAATGAATTTATATCGTATTTCATTTATTAGAATAAATGTTTTTAAGATCTTAAACCTCATATCTCGACTATTTATTTCATTTGGATGCAAAAGCTTATCCACACAATAAGCATTTCTAATAAAAGAAAAAAAATTAAAAGTTTAATGGAAAACTAACTCACTTTATTTCGATTGCTTGCATCAATTCTTTTGCTACTTTTTCGTTATCATCTTCTTCATCACTACTACTACTTGTTGGATAGAATTCACTGAAATCTTTCGGCTTATTATGGGCTGCTTGCTCCTTTTCTAGGTAATCATTTTGTACTTGTAGTATTTCCTTACTAGATTTACATTGAGCGTAGTTTTTAAGTAGTGTTTCATTTAACTCAATAAAAGAGTGACCCCACGAAAACTTGCCCATATACCACTGCGCTTCCGATTCGTAACCACATATATATAATGTAGCAGCAATTGCTTCTACACAACTTAATTTGCATGGTTTACCATAATTGATTGGGTTTGCTGCCACCAAATACGGTAGTAAACGTGGATGTGGACTCCTCATGCGATTAAATGGTGTCTCTTCCAACTTGGCCCACGAACAATCTACAACTGCTACACCAGCCGCTCCAACAATGTCTCTATCCAGTGGGCTAACACAATTCACACCAACAGGCGTTAAAACAAGACCAGGGAATTTTTGTCCCAATCGTAAATTTTCGATAAGGCCTAAGCGCGATAATTTCCTTCCTGAACATTTCTTTGGGTCGCAATGATTTAGATCCCACATGGCAATCGGAAAGTTTGGCGGATGTCCGATTCCGTCTATACTAGCATCTGAGGAGGATGAACTACTATCACTGTCATCTGTGGCCAGCTCACATGCGCGTTGTGCAAAATTTCGCTCACAATTTCGATTAGTTTTTACATTGCGAAATTGTCCATGCGCTCCGTTTCCTCTTCTACCTCTTCCACGGTTACGAGAACTCATTCTATAATATAATTAAAAACTTTTCAAGATATAAGAACCAACAGGTTAAAAACCCAAATTATATACCTGATTTATCAGATTATAAAGGTATGTTTTTGTTTATGTTTTTGACATGACGGAATAATGTTAAGGGTGTTTCACACGAGCCCTCGCATAATCAAAACAGCAAAGAACGCACACGTTTAAAGCGCGCATTAAACATTGCGTGCGCTAATGAACGGTACAAGAAATATTTCATATTGAATATTTAAAAAAACTGTTATATATTAAGTAATAATTGAAACTAAAACCAAAACAAACTTCCTTGCAAAGCGATTACAAAGATCTTTCTGTCATTTTCTCTTGCGTTAACTTTAGCGCTGACGTGTCTGTTGACACATGAAAGCATCGTTCTGTTCATACGAGTTGATGGCAGATAAAACTTTTTTGCGTAGCATGACATTTCCATCTTTACCCCCAAAGAGAAAAACGTCAATGGTACGACGCCATGAGCTCCTTTCTATTGAATTATTTATCAAAAAATGTTCGGCCTGTCAATTAGTCTCGAGTTTAATTCTAGTCAGACTAACATTCAAAGTCATGGATAATTAACTACTGCCAGCCGCCCCTTAAATATATAATTGACACTTGTTACCGCTGAAGCGATTTTCCGCTCAGCTCTTCTTCCAATTCGTGATTTTGCGACTTGATATTTTTCCAACAAATGGAGGAACCCACAGTTTATACTAAGCCGCCATGAAGGGATGATGGTTTTTTATGAGGAGCTTTATTTCAGTCAGAAATGCGCTAGAAGGGGTTGACATTCCCTGCCTACGGGCATTCTGGTATAACGTATTATAATATTTTTATTGCTGGAAAAAATAATACAAGCTTTAATAACCGCACCGTGAGTACTGATTTCTCCAGACTGGATAAGGAAGCGAAGTGTATGGGCCTGGTAGTGAACGAGGTCATGACGAAATATATCCTGTCATCAAAAAAGGGTCATTGCATTCGGGACTGGGCTCTGGCGTCACTGCCGATAGTCATAATTTTAAAGTCGTAGATAATTTCGTCTATCTTGGAGCCACTATTAACTCCAACAATAATGTCACCCTTGAAATATAACGCAGAATCTCTTTTGCCAGATTACTTTGGACTGAGTAGGCAATAGAAAAGTAGAGCCCGCTATCGGCGAGCAAAGAACAAAATCTGCAAATCACTCATCATGCGCATCCTGCTACGTGTTGCAGCGGTATGGACGATGAATCGGGAGAAGGGTTTTGCGTAAAATTTATGATACTCTTAGGGCAGGAAACGGCAAGGACTGCAGCCGATGGAACGATCAGCCGTACGAAATATACGGCGACATTGACATAGTTCTGCGAATCAACAGTGTAAGTCATGTGGTCCGAATGGATAAGAATACTTCAGCTTTGATAGTTTTCGAGATAAAGTAAGATTTCAACTCCGTTGGAAAGATCAGATAGAGAAAGACTTGGTATTTCCAATTGGTACAAAACAGCGAAAGATGAAATGGCTTGCTGCTATTAACTTGGCTATAATACTGTTACATATACATATGCATATATATATGAAATTGAATCTATCGAGCAACAGTTCGTACTTTACGAATCCCAAAATATATTTCTCTGAACTTAGACATTAGAATTCTAATATTTTCTTCCTATTTACGAAACTGAAGTAAATACTTTCATATACATAGGTACATGCATAAATGCGTATATGTATGTATATACATACGTATATAAGCGGAATTACTGAATCGAAATGCTGGCAACCAACACTTGATGATCAATAGCAATGAGAAAAAAAGAAAATCTTTAGCTAAAGTTATGCACCATTTGCCAAGTTTTTACTGTTAGAAGTGATAAAATCAACAAGACATTTATTTATAATTTCAATGTTAATTTTGTAATTGATTAATTAACTGCAAAACGTTTAATTTATTTAATAAAATTTGTTGTATTTAATGACACTGAATGTAAAGTAGAGCAGCCCAATTTAGAACAGAATAGAACAGGTGTGAAAGCAAAAGAGGGAGGTAGGACAAGTAAGCGTAAAAATCTTACGCAACATTTTTCATTGGATTTTTTTTTTTTTTTAATAAAGACATTTAATGTGTAGAATTACGTATGCATAGTTCTTCTTTTTATCCTATGCTTGGTTTAATCAAACAATATGATTGCTTTCTCTGAGTTCAAAAATGCTTGTTGAGGAGAATTAAGTTCTCTCTTTTTGTACAGAGCAGGCGAGAGAAACTAAAACCCGTCATAACACCACACCACGACACTACCGATCTACACCCGGAGGATGTGGAACCTACCGTTCTCTCAGTAATAGAAGTTCTGCATGGAATAGGTTTCTAACTGCTCTATTTTAACGATTGTGTAGTTTATTCTAAGGAAGACTTCCCTCAAGAAGAATATTTTAATCCTCACTGCTGTGATACCCGCTGATTCAAAAACTAAACAGAACGGCTTGTGGTGTGGTACCATATGCTAACGACATTACCTCAACAGCGATAGAATAACACTTCCAAATCTTAGTAATAATTCAAAACGCCGTATAAATAGCAGGAAACCGAGGCAAGAAACCTAAAATGGTCCTTTTTTCCGGGTCAAACATAACCACCTGATTTTAAACCAGCACACCACTAAAAATCATAGAGTCCACTCTCTCTATCTGTGTGAAAACACCTTGAGATAATCTTAGATGACAAACTCAACTGGAATTGTAACACGGCCGTAAGGTTGGGTAAGGCTATAACTGCACTCTACATTTGTAAAGTTTGGAAAGAGATGGATTTTTTGGTAAATATATATATTTGAATAAAAAACTTTCAATAGCTTATACATTTGTTAATGTGTACAGACTCCGGGTAAAGACAACCGGAACCAGCCATCAGTGACCGCAAAGCGCCTCTGGACCGCTGAAGAAGTTAACACATACAAAAAAAGCGAAACCTCCTGCCCCGACTGCGAGGGATAGTGATGTAAATGTAAACTCAGTAATATTTGCGGGAAGCAGAACCACTGTAGGCGTAGTGGAGCACCGAAAGTCATATACAGACCCGTCACTTCAATTATACCATCTTGAATGTTGGCAGACACATCGTCGAAGCAGCAGCCCTTGCTGGAGGAACGCCAACTTCAGACTGTAGATCGATATACCTACGTGCAATAATGGACTTCAAGTCAGAACTTGTACCTTTCGAAGAAGTCCCTAAGCTCCGAAGACACATATTAAAATTTGTCACGGAGAGGGTGACTATAATTTCAATAGAGTTCATCCTGAATAAGCTGAGCAAGCAAGACAGGGAATTGGGAGGTATTCCACCGCTGCGGCGCTACGCAAGCAGAGTTGCCATTCTTTTGACTGTTGGCCAGTCTACCACTCATTTCTTGAATCCATAGTTCAATTCGGAGCTGTGCACCGTAATGTGACGATTAAGCCGGTCTTACTTATAAGTTTGTCTAACAGCATAAACTGAAAAAAGCCAGCTTATCGAAAAATGAAATGAAAAAGCAATAACACCATAATGAATTGCTGGATAGCAAGAAAGCAAAAAATGTTAATATGTGAAGTTATCCTAGAAAGACAAACGATGCTTAGAAAATTGAATGCATTAGCTACTAACTACTACTACTATTACTACTTGGTACCCATATATATACATACATACATAAATATGTACGAACTATATTCATGTATGTACAATAACATCTGTATAAATTATAACACCGAAATTATTTATCACCTCTTAAATATATTTTTTTTATATTTGTTCTCATTTCTTTTTGGTGTTTTTATTTACAATAAAACATTTTTCTTCATGTAGAAAAATATCGGCTGACGTCCACTAAAGGACAAGCCAACTTAAAAAGGAGTTCACCTTGACCACAGATTTTAGACATATAGGCAAAAGTAGTTCAAAGTTAGATTTCCTTTTTGCAAAGACAACATTCGTATGCTGGTGAGAATTACAAAAGCAAAATATAAATTTATAGAGGTAAGTAGTATATTTGTATGCATACATGTATGTATGTATACACAACCATTCAATAAGTTGTTGGTTTAAAGAGCGTAATAAAATCCAATAATATATCCCAATAAATCATATCGATAGTTCATACGAGCGGAAGTAGAAAATGAGACAACAGCAAGTTGATTTTTTTAAATTTAACCGTTATATATAAAATGAAATTTCGTACTCTTTGGCCACAACTTTCTTAATTAGAATTTATATATTGTACATATATCATGAGACCCGGCGTGTTTCGCCTGAGTTAGCTCCAAATAAAGATAGCTCAAGTCCTCATGTGAATTATTTGAATGGACGCGATTAGTTTTTCGTCAAAAGAATAAATAACAAATTTAACTAAGTCGTTTTAGAAAAGAAAAACTTAAGGCCAGGTTCCTGTAAAAAATTAAAAAAAAAGTCGCAATTTCTAGAAAATACTCTTAGAAATAATATAGAATTAGTTCTGAAGGCCCGAAAGACTAAGAAGTTAGTATTGAAGTGGAAAGAGCGGAGCACGCCAAGCGTAAATTCGGCCGCTCGAATCTCTAAACCACATTATTTCAACTCTCATTTAGAATCCATTGAACATATCAACATGAAATACCGTTTAGGATTTTACTTCTAAAATGACGCTCTATGATCGGTACCACAAATCAAAATATTCATTGTTATTTAAAAAAAATTATAAACAAATAAAATTGAAAAGAGTGTAAAAAAATTCAATAGTCCACCTTTTTTTGGTGAAAATGTTTCTATGTAATTCCGCCCCTAGCTAATGTGTTACAGAAAAGGAAACTGTTTTGATTTCAACTGAAAAATTCAGTTATCGTGTCACGAGACGTGCTTCAGCAGTAATTTTAACAGCCGCCATTAACAAAAAATTCAATTAATATTTTCATAACTTTACTTGTCTACAAAAACGTTGATTCATAAATAAATATTTTTTTTAATAAATAATTTTTTTTGAAAAAAAAAATCCAAATTTTTTGGGGGAATCTGGCCTTAAACGAATCATAAAATCTGTTAAATACGAATTATTGGAAAAATTTGAGTCAAAACGATCCCTCCATTATCAATTCATGAAAATCTTTGAATTTTTTCAACAATTTTAATGTCGTTGTATATATCTATATATATGTATATATGTG